ATGAGTTCGGTGGAAGCTTCTCCCAACCACCGTCCAAAAAACGCTCGGGTCGGAACACGTCCGCGTCATCGCCATACACTTTAGGGTCGTGATGCAGTCCCTTTAGATTCATCAAGATCATGTCCTTCGGCTGCACTTCGTATTTCCCCTTAAAATTGTTAGACGCTAACTATAGTAGCCGTGAGGATGACTTACCGCGACTTTCGTAGGCTTCAGCGCATGTTTTCCATTGATAGCAATGGGGCCGAGGAAACGCAACGCTTCGTAGATTGCGAACTTGATGTATTCAAGCTTTGGGACATGTTTCAGCTCCAAAGGACCGTCTCCGAGAACTTCGTCAACTTCTTGTTGAGCTCTCAGATACTTGTCAGGGTTTCTGAGTAGGTGGTAGAACAGGAAGCCCAGAGTGCCGCTTGTAGTTTCGTGGCCCGCAACCAGGAAGGTTACCATGTTGTATCGCACGGACTCTTTCGTCATCTTCTCTCCGGTCTCCTTGTCCACTGCCTCAAGCATGGGGTTGAGAAGGTCCTTGGCATCTGGCTGAGGATGAGCGATTCGATCAGCGATAATCTGGTCGCATAGATCATGCATCTTCTTCACGTTATCCTGGCGATGGGCTTCGGCGAAGACTCGGAGTTTGTTCTCGATAGACGTGCGTGTGGCTCGTCTGCCAGACTCCACCAGAACCTCCACCATTTGGTTGATGAAAGGATGCGCACTGTTGCTGTAGAAATTATTGAACCTGTAGCCAAACGCGCACAGGCCGATCATATCAAAGGTCAGCCTTGAAGTAGTTAGTCATAACGCCATTTGGTAAGAGATGGCTGATATTCACCTTGTGAAGTCATCGGCGCATTCTATCTCATGATCTGGTCCGAAACGGTCCCACCGGAGCAGCATCTGCGTCGAAATGTCCATCATGCCATCGAACATCTTGCGGATACCCATTGGCCCAAACACAGGCATCAACAGCCGGTGTGCGACGCCCCAAGCCTAGTGCAATTATTAGCACATCTGCGATCACAGCAGGCATGTCAAGTGTACCTTTTCGCCGGGATAAGCTGTGAACAGGCCATCTCCGGTCAAAGCTCGCACCTCATCCAGAGTAGCATTAATGGGCTTTTCGAACCTGTCACCGTCGCAGCAGTCGTTGATCGTATCATATGAGGACACGACGATGACCTTGCCGTCACGTCCCGGGAACTGGAGTTGATAGATTTCGCCATAGATATCCGCAAGTCGTTGGAAGGAGCCTGGAGCGTCGTTCGGATCGATCTCAGCGAAGTTGCCTACGAATAGGTGTGGGGGAGGCTGAGGAATAGGTAGAGATTCTGATGTATCGGAGGCCATCATCGTGGTCTATGTGGTGATGTGCAAGATTAGTAGGGTGGTGACAAGACCAGATGTTTGGTTTCCAACGAGGAGGAAAGACCAAAGGACTTGGATTCAGCTGCTCCTCCCTGGGAAAGAGCTACGCTACATATACACAGGTAGCAACACAGTGCAGGACATGTCAGCCTTGGGACGTCGGCCTCCCATGGCAGCTCTCGACCGAGCCTTCCCATTTAATGCTGCCTAGTTGCTGACTCCGCAGGGATACAGAGTCCTTTGGTGATGTAGTTATAGCCAATGGGGTCTGATTGGGCGTCACACTGTCCGTAGTCAGCAAGTTTGCGTTCAGCTCGGCTGTGCCAGCCACGCGATAGGCTCCCGAGTTGTGATGCATGGGAGCACGACAGCATGCCGACGCTGCGCCTCGTGCGAACTGGTGACCGAGAGATATTGCGCGCGACTTAGCCAGATCACAGTACGCAGTAGCCTTCGCCTGTCTAGAAACTGTCTACCAAACGGCCCGAGGCGCAGGGCCAACGACCTGTCCACCCCGCGCCACGCCGTAACACGCGCAGCGTCTGTTGTTGAGAGCCCTAACGGCTCATCATGCGTGTTGGACATTCGGGATCTGATGAACTGGTGTTCTCTGAATTGTCGAGGTTTGCTCATTGGGGTAGAAGACGGGAAAACATCGACGCAAACGCTGTTCGTGAGTTAGTGTACACGGCGATCGTCGCGTCTTCGCGTGACGGGGTGCTTCATTGAGCTCAGCGGCATCATTGCGACATCTTCAGCGTTTTCGTAACGATACTGATACTATGAGCTTCAGTGGTTATGCAACATGCACACTGTCTGGACATGTTGCAAGGCGAGACGGCGGTGTTGTGCAGGACGCGCCAAAGCTCGGCCGGCTCAAGCGGCCGAGCGGGGCGCCACTTGCCTGTGGAGAGTACGAAGGAGCTCGTATTTCAACGTTGCACCTAGTGTTCACGATAAGAACGTTAAATGAGTCGAGGCCCAGGAAGACTCCACGCAATAAGACCAGACACGAATCTATTCATCAGCCAGACGGCATGCATTGCATTAAGTGAGGTTAACCAGTGTACATCTGAACGTCTCCTTCTCCCATGTCTGATACAACAAAACACCAGCCATCTGGTCGTTGTACCATTTATTACGGTTGATATGCACCATAATGATGTATGTCGTGCACAGTTCACAAAGACTCAAGCCGCGGATGTCTTGGCCTCCTTCTCTTTCTTCCAGACAGCGATGGTGGAACTGTCGAGGTGGATCTGGTTGTAGGTGCTGACATAGCTAGGACATTCGCCATCGTGGCGCGTGAACTTGCCAGATGCTTCGCCGATGACATAGTCGATCGAATCGCTAGCCTTGAGATCCAACATACCCCAGTGATTGAGGAAGCCAAGAGCAGAGTTGTACATGCTCTTCAATTTAAACCCCTTGGGAGCTTGGCCTTTCAGAAAACGAATGTAGATAGTGAGACGCTGGGTGTATACGTGAAAAGTGAACTCTACACGAGGTTGTAGGATGGTGGTACTGCGAAGCATCTTCAGCCAATTTTCGTTGGTGTTGGCGAGGAAGGCATCCAGTGCGTCGAGATATCCATAACTCCACCTCATTTGCCAAAGCACTTCATCCCAAGTGTCCTCGTGATCGCAGTCCATGCCGCATCCACAATGGATGCTGTGTCCGCATTCGAAGCACGCTACGTTGGGCACATCGTCTTCGAGTACCTGACGGGAGGCGAAGTTGACAGTAAAGGTTGGGCAGTGTGCGCGTAGGCGGGCCAGGAGGGTGATGTTTGTCAGGACGTCCTCCATAGACTCTTCATCCCCACCGTAACCTTCTTCGAGTTCATCGCCAAGCTGACCGTGGTCCCAGGATATTAGCAGAAGCTTTGGAGCGTTCTGGTAATCTGCGACCTTGGGGTAGTATGCGCTGATGAGATGAGCGAGTGTTGGGAGTTCCACGCAGAAGCGAGATTGACGAAGCCACATAGGCCGATACTCCGTCCGAATCTGCTTGCAGACTTGAGTGAGCGCACGGTAACGCAGCGTGCTCAGTAGATGCGGCACGCTAGTGCTGTCACTTGCGATCTTGGAACGCCGGAGCAGAAGCGGTCGTATTAGATCATCGTCGTCATCATATACCCCTTCTTCGGCGAAGTGGTATATGCGATTGCGGATTTCTGCGAATAGTTAGCCAACCAAAGCGCTATATAGGCAAAAGAAGGACATACCAGCAGGCAGCTCGAGGAATTGGCAGCAATTGAGCATGGGCTCGAACTTGGTCTTATCGCCAACCGTCTTGCCACCCGAATTACTGCTGTTGCCCTTCTTGGCGTCGCTTGTCTGGAAGTTCTGGCCTTTGCCTCTGTACATCGGTCAGCTAAGCTGTAGGGAGATATGTGAAGGTACATACGCGTCGGAAGGCATCTTCACTGTTGAACCTGAGAAGACCTGTAGAGAGGGGAGCGCAGTCTTCAGGTTAGGTGTCAAGCGGGGTTGGGTAAACAACGAGAACAGGCAGCGAAATGCGCCTTTGTTAGTCGCGGAAAGAGCGCACGAGCGTGACGCGATTTCCCGTGACCGATGACGCACTACCTAGGTATGCCTACACCGTCTCGTGGGCGCAGAACTCTCGGAAGACCCCGCTCTTCTTTTTTGAGAAACGAATTCGATTCTAGAGGTGCCCTTTAAACTCTAGGCACTCAGGCGGAATCCTTAGTCCTCCCCTCCCATCTTGCTGCGTCCTACTCGTCTGCCAGTCTTAATTCCAGTAGGCAAAAGGCCCTTATTTGTGTAGGCTCAATGAAGAGGTCCTTGCTCCCTAAAGTTATTCACGAAGAGATTTGTACCCCTGGGTGAATCGTACTAACGCTGCATAGACACCAGCATGCGAGAACCACGGCGTGGGGGCAGTGACTGACAGTGTTGCGTGTTTTCACCTCAAGTGGTTCCATAGTCTTGACCATGCCCAGCGTCGTGGTGTGCAGCGACGACGCATGCAAACAACAGGCGCCAGTGATTACCTCGTCAGGCGTGGCAGTTTGCTTCCACCCATACGACAAACATTGACGCCCCTGTCTCACAACACATCCTCTTCTTTTATAAACACCCCACGAGTCTCCAAATATCCCACGGCGACTGACATTCTTGTCACTGAAAAGTGAACGTGGCGGTATGGCTTTGATCTCGACCTGCTCTTATTGGTCGGCTTGGCAGGTGAAGGCGACCCCATACCGTGGGTGACAATAGAACAGACAATGGGCCATCCATACCAGCCACCCGCATTGTTTCTCCTTCACCAGGTAGTCCTACTCCTTATGGCGAAAAGTCTTTTTCAAGCTCTGCTGCAAATTTACCACCGACCTCACTTCCCAATTACTCCAAACACCGACCTCCAGCCCAAAAGATTGCGATCAGCTGCGAGCCGGATCTTTCAGTCTGACAACCACGAAACTGCACGCATCAGCAAGGCATCTCAAGATGTTTGCGCAAGAGTATATCCCTTTTGCGACAGGCACAGCACCATCTACGGACGAGCGTGGTATCCCACAACCCACCCATCTCGCGCGCAAAGCATCATCCGCCAGCAGTGCGTTCTTGCGAGAGCTTCTTCGCCCGGAGATGGCTCTCTCGATCATGCCTCCCGGCTGCCGCACCATCGCCTTCTCGCAGTGGGGTGGCTTCACTGCAGCGCCCGAGCAAGTCACACCGACTGAAGAGCTCAAGGCCTCAGACCTGTACATGGATCGCGGGATGACATCCACCTTCAACCCTCCGACGTCCGAATGGTGTTATCTGGGAGTGAACCAGCCAAAGCCAGACCCCAGATACAACGCGCAGCCCATTCCAGATCTTCGCAAGCGCAAGCGGAACTCATCGACCAGCATCGCGACTGTGAGTGAGCAAGGCGATCAGGGTGCCAGACCCAAGGTAAGGATATCACTATACAAACTGAGTGTGAGACAAACGCTGACTTCGTATCTTCGTAGCCAACGACTTCGCCCGTCCGTTTTACCAGGCAGACACTGAAGCGAGTCAACACAAGTTCCGAGCTTACAAGGTCGTTCGAGCTGGTGTCCATCAAGGAAGAGAAGAAACCGACGTTGGCCGAAAAGTTCGCGTTCGAGGGACTGAACTGTGAGGATCTTCCATCGGCATTCGACTCCGACGACGAAGAAGAAGACTACGACATCCGACATGCTCGCTGATGGAAGCATGAGAGCCCCTGAGCACGACTGCCTGCTCCACGATCAAGGACCGTCGCATAGGGTGGTCTGGAGGTGGAAAGCATTCATGAAACGAAAGCTTATGAGCGCATCGCATGGGATTTGATTCTGTTGCAACGCTGGTTACATTGTTCACTGAAGCGGCATATGGCTTGAAGGATGCGATGACAAAAGGAGTGCAGGATGAGGCACAATGGATGAAGATGTCTCGCTTGCCGGCTGGCCCGAGCTCTCTTTGGATTCGATGACAGCATCGATCATCAGCTCTAGCATAACTTTTGGCCTGTACATATACACCCGCCACAACAATCAATTGCATATCACAACCATGGAACGAAGTCTACTGCAGTGCACGCGTGCATTCTCAAGATGTACGATCCAAACGTCATGTCGTAATCTACCCAAATGCAGACCCTCGGCGATCGCGTCGGCACGACAGGCACGCTGCCTGCACACGACGCGCCCCGCCCTCCTCCAATCCAAACCTCCAAGAACGCGCGATCGCGGCCCAAAGAGCGACGAAGACACGCAGACCGACTTCAGTGCTCTCGATGTCCTCCGGAACACCGTCGCTCCCGCCACATCCATCGACGCGTGCACAGGCGATGGCTTCGCGCTCAACAACCAGATGCGCATTAGCGGATGCGGCATTCTCTTGATAGGCGGAGAGGCATATCGATGGAAGCCTTGGCTACGCGAGGGCAGGAAAGAAGGCACCGTCGCTGGAGGAGGCACGGGCGATGATGCAATGACAGGCAAATTGCTGAACGCGAAGGGACAATGGGAAGTGCAGGAGCAGGCTTGGGGAGTGTTGGAGTTATTATATCCGAAGCCTGGTGCGTTTGCTAATCTCCTGCAACGATCGAGTGACGAACGTGGACTGACAGCGAGTGACAGATCTACTCATCATTGGCACCGGCCCCAGTACCGTCCCTCTCGCGCCCGCGGTTCGCAAGTACCTCAACGACCAGGGAATACGGTTAGAAGTCCAGGACACAAGGAACGCGGCGGCGCAATTCAATCTGCTTGCGACAGAGAGGGGTGTAGGACAGGTTGCGGCGGCGCTCATACCCATCGGCTGGAGAGAAGGACGATGATGCTCGGATTAGCAGAGGGCATACCACTGTCCCGTTGGTTTCTCTAAACGGTCACGCTGCGGTGTCTCATTGACGCCTTGACAGACCTAGGAGCTGGCCTAGACAATCCTGCTGTGAACGACTCCAGGTCGATGGTCCACCCAAACCATGGAGGGTAGTCTTGTTTCCAGGCAAGCTATAATAGGGCCAGCGATACGTCACAGTACGAAGAAATGAGCGCGTAAGTCAACGATTTTATGAGACATGCCCGCGAAGTTGAGCACACTCATTGTACTATTTGTATACATACATTCCATTGTTCTCAGATGATCCTGGAACCGACCTGTACATATCAGTCCTTTGTGTCTCACCTTTACCTCTCTCTTTGTCGTACTTTTCATGAATTCCCAAACTCGTTCCTCGCGCTGCTTGCTTGTTCTGACTCCACCAGTTCTATTTGCTAGTCCGGCCGTCGAGCAAACAAACGCTGTCACAATCACAGCCACGACTCCCTCGCCCAGACCGCTCCTTCCGACTTGCGCCTTCTTAACCCACCACGTGGCCCGGCGATATCGCATAACTAGCAAGCCAATGTCGCTTAAATACGTGACCTGCGCACTATCGACCTTTCTTTCCACTCTGCTCGGTCTGATCACTCGAAGCTGTGAACTAATGTCTGCCGCTGATATGCACGGAATAAGGTGGGGCTTTGGTAGGCGCGTGGTAACTCCTGATGAGGAAACAGCCATAGGCGACACTACGCCGCTACTCGGTTCGGAACGCTCTTACCGCAGCGAAGAGGCTGGAGGCGACTTTCCGCCAACCATGGATGGCAATGATGCTTCCGCCGCCACGTCTTCAGCAACACCACGTCCGGTGACTCCCTTTGTCGCCGAATTACCGATTATTCATAGCCCATCGTTACCGGCAGTCATACACAGTTCAGGCCCTAGGCTGTCCGTCCTCCAGTCGTTCAGGCTTAGCAAGTTATACCGCAATCGGTTCCTATCGCCCACAGAAGTGTCCTGCCATACCGACCGCTCCACAGCGCAGATGGAGTCGCAAATTCAATATGACGACAAGAGCCTAATAATCGAAATACTGTCACCCGTTCTCGACGACCTGAAGGAGCTGAAGGCGTTGACACCCGAGAGTCTACAGGACCACAATCAGACCCTCAACAACGAGACGCACGCTCAGGTTCTTAAGCAGAAGCTGCTACCGATAGGTCAGCTTATCGTGGACTGCCTCGAAACAGTCCCACTGGACCACCGGGGTTGGTTGGAGGGAGCTATATGCCATCACATCGCCGACAATTACTGGCCACTGCCTGTCAACTTCTTCACCCATCTGAAGATCCAGGAGAAATACCGCAATGCGCTCTTCAGGTTGGCGCAGCGCACACCTGCCGGAGCCATCGAGCCGCATCCCAACAAGGACTCTCAGCAGCCTCAAGCACCAGCTATCGAGCCTGATCCGCCCCAACCATCGCTGGACCCGAGGGATAATCCGGACACGCCACCATTCCCCAAATCGACCGCTGAGCAACCTCAAGCATCAGCTATCGAGCCTGATCCGCCCCACCCGTCGCTGGAACCGAGGGATGATTCGGATACCACTGCACCATTTCCCGGATCGTCCGTTCATCAGCTACAATCATCAGTCGTTCAGGCCGCTCCGGGCTCTGGTGACTTTCTAGATCTAAACTTTTACGAGTTGAGAGCAGAGGCTATTGAAGAGGCCGATGCGAGGGACTTGGACAACGTATAGTACCCAATGGTCAAGTACCACCTTCTGCCTAGTCTTCCAAGGCTGGACCGAAAGATCCGGAAATGTCAAATGCCCATGTCACTCTTCAATCCTCAATGTACGGGCTATTGGGACGCTTCTTTCGAGATCAACAACAACCAAGTTCAATGGAAGGTAGTGATACCTCATGTACGCATGGTATGTGAACCATTTACTGACTTTGTACATTCATCCTTAGGCCAAACCTGATCCTAACACCATCCTTTACAACTACATGCTGCCCCCCGATCATATGACCAAATGTGTCATACCATTATTTGCGGCACGCGGCCTGCTGCCAGATCTTGAGCTCCGCGTGGCCACGAAGATGAGCCACGAGTATCAAGACTCTAGGCAAAACCTGAGTGCAATGCTCGATTATGACATGCGTTGTTGCATCCTCTTTCTGACTCGCAAACGGCCCGATCTCCAACCATTCGAAGTATTGTGGTGCGCTGTAAGTGGGGTTCTGAAGTTGCACAGACCCTCGTTCGACAGATACGCTCAGGCACCTGCAAAGATTCGCCAAAGGGTCAGGCGAGACGGAATAGCAGCGTTTCAGAGAATGATAAAAGCCCCAGATTTCGACCACGTTGACCAATACCTTTGGAACGCGATGAGGGTGCTTGAGATCTATACTAGACCTCTGGTTACAAACGAAAGTGTATTCCTCTGGATCGATTCCTTTCGTCTTGAGAACATCGACGTCATCTTCGATTTACGCCTAGATGGCGCGAAAGCTCGAAAGAAATTGTTCGATTACCTCGAAGAGAGGCATCCTGGTGGCGAATCCATATGGCACAGCCTCGTGCAGAACTTCCACAGCCATGATGTAGTCAAATTTCCAGAGTACGCTACTCGACCACGCTCAATCGAAACCATTACTACCTGGGTATATTTCTTCACAGAAGCTCGACAGGGTGTTCTACTGAAGGGGATGGACTTCGACGCATTAGTCCTCGATGAAGCTGTAGCAGCTGTAGCAGCGGAGCAAAAGAAACCGAAAAAGAAGAACAAGCCGAGGAAACGTAAAGGTGCCAAATCGGGGGAGCTGCCTGATGAGAAGGAGCTGCCAGTTGCTCAAGAGAAGTGCACATCTCAAGACCTTCCTGTGTCTCTTGAACAACCTCCACAGAGGGACGACACGACACCGCAAGAGGAGTCTGTAACTCAAGAACAACACACATCCCCAGAGCAAGCTATACCCCAGGAAGAGCCCCAAACGAAAAAGCAGCGCTTATCTCGAGAGCTATCGACTACGCCTACACCTTGTGGACCTACACCCCTTTCAACGCTGGAAGAGAAGGAGGAGAGCGAGCAGAAGCAGTCAACAGAGCAGTTAAAGAAGCAAAGAAAGAAGCAATCGAGATGGGAGAAAAAACATGGCAAGGCAGGAAAATCCGACGCTACTAAGCAGGCAGCCTCAATCACGGTGGAGGAGTCTTCGCCATCCGTTGTCGCGAAGGCCGATGACGGTGGTGACAGTGTTACTGGAAACGCCGACAAGGATAACGACGGTGTTATTGGCAGCAGTGTTATCAACGACGGTGGTGACCTTGGTGGCCACTTGTCTGCGGCTGATTCGGTTCCTAGCGATGAAGCGCCTACCAATCAAGAGACGGTTCAAGAGCATCCAAGCAACAGGTACGAAGTTTTGATGGCCAAGCCGTCGAAACCCGCTAGGAAGTCAGCCGGAAAGCTAGCATTCCATACCGATAGTGAAGATGACGTGAAGAAGGCCATGGAGGAGAGTCTTCTGAATGACCCGGGTAGCTGGTCAAAGGTGCAAGGGCGCGCGAAACTGCGACCAAAGCAGAAGCAGAAACAGCGCACCGACGATCGCAAGAGTATCCAAGATGCGTACAGAGAGAGAGGCTATGCAACTGCTGTTACCGATGCACAGTTGGACAGGGCAAGAGCTGAAGTGAAATCGAGAGAGGTACGGGCGGACTATCTCAGATCTAAAATAACGAGATTGTCTGCTCTGATACCAGGTGAGGGCAGCGCCGAATCAATCAAAGAACACAACAGCCCCGCTTGCGGGCAGCCTACATCCTGGTCAGCGCTTTTCAAACCTACGGAGAATGACACGGGGCGCAACCCTCCTCAAGAAGCCGC